ACCCTGGGGCCGGCCTTGAGGGCTGTGCCCAGGAGCCCTCTAGCTTGGGCCCCAGGGCTGTGCTCCCAGACGGTACCAGGAGAAACCCAAACCGGGAGCAGAGCGGAGCGAAGGCAGCCCGACCGCACGACCGGTCGGTCAGCAGGGGCTGCGGTGACAAGGGAAACAGCCCTTCTTCCACCCTGCAGCACCATGCGGCCAGGCGAGGACCAGAGTGAGGTCTGAAGGAAAGAAACAGAGCAATCTTGAGAAAAGGGTCTGGAGAGTTTGTTTGGAAAAAATGGCGTGACATCCAGGCGATGATTCCTTGTGTTCTGAAAACCCAGGCAGAAAGCTGCTTGCTGCCCCCCACCCCTGGCACCCTCAGGCAGCCACCCCCTCCTACTGGTGAGGACGGTGAGGATGCCCTAGCGTGGCCCTTGGGACCCACAGCGGGTAGGGGGCAGGCACTAGCTCCACTCCAGTCGCTCCCATGTGCCACTCTCTGTCTTAAGCCCTGGGCCAACTCCCACTGCCTCTTGGCTCAGAAGGCTGCTTCTGGTCAGCCCTGGTCCCTGCCGTCCATCGCTCCCTCCTCTTCCCACTCCCCGCGGCTGCACAGAGCCACGCCACGTGCAGCCTCCAACGCTCTGGGGAGAGACAGCAGCTGAGGAGGAGAGGCAGGAAAATCACCCTAGTGTTCCCTCCTCCAGCCCAGCAAACACCGAGGTGCCTCTAAGCACTTGACCCTACAACTGCCCCAGCAAGCCAGCAAGCAGCACATGGGTCTTCTCCCATTTTACAGAGAAGGAAACTGAGGCTTAGGGAGGTAAAAGAGTTTGGGCAGGTTCCCAGAACCAGGACAAGAACCAGGAGAGAGCAGGGCTGAGAGAGGACTCAGAGAGTCGGGAATGGAGGACGCCCAGCTCTGCCCCTCACAGCTCTGAGATCCTGGGCCAGTCAGGACACCCTGGGGGCCCCAGCTTCCTCGACTCTGAAATGGCAGAAGTGGTACCCGTGCCCAGCGGTGCTTGGACAACTAGATGAAGCAGTGCATGCAGAGCATGGAGCACAACACACAGGACGCACTCTCTGCAGGTCAGCTTTGAGGCACGCAGAGGCTCCGAGGGGCGTAGGGAGCCCCTGGAGTCACCATGCTGCCCAATAACCAGAGACAGGAGCCTCCTGGCCAGGGTCTGGCTGGACTCCTGGAAGCAAGACCCCTTCATGGGAAAGGAGTATCAGTGTGGTCAGGAGGGGAGTGCCAGAGAGGCGCCAGGGCTGCCTGTGGCGCTGGCCCGCCCCTGACTTCCCAAAGAAGGCCCTCTCACTGGCCACAGGCTGACTCGTGGGCAGCTGGGCACAGCAGGGAAGGTGAATTTAGGGGGCTATGGTCCCTTCCACTGGCCTTGCTTGCAGGACTTTGAAAGCCAGGCCTTGGAGTCACCTGCATCATCACCCACTCAGGACCAAACCCTTGACTCCTGGGAACATCCACCATGTCATAAGAGTCGTCCTTCCTCCCTCAGCCCTGCCTCCTTCTCAGACAAGCAATGGCCATATCAGGCCCAACATCAAAGGGGGTTGTGAGGCAAACAATCCAGAGAAGGCCAGTCCCTGTCTCACGGAGGTTATATTCCAGTGGGAGAGTAGGCAGGTCAAATAGGACATATTAGATAAACTCCACAAAGAGTCAGTGTCGTTAAGAAAATCCGCAAAGGTGCACTGGTGGAGAACAAAGGGTGGAAGTGACCTTAGATCAGATCATCAGGGCAGACTGCTCGGAGGAGGTGTCAGTGGACCTGACACTAGAATGATGTCCACAGGCTCAAGCAAGGAAATGCACTCCAGGGAGGAGAAGCGCAAGTGCAAAGGTCATACCAGAGAGACCAAAGGGGATGGTGAGTGAGATGAGAATGCAGAGAGAGAGACGAGCAGAGGTCAAAGCCTGTGAGGTATCTGGCATTTATTTAGGAGAAATGGGAACACTGGAAAATGATGTGATGCAAACTTATGTTTCTTAGTGGGCACTCTGGTTGCTATGTGGAAAATGGAATGAAGGGATAAATGATAAAGTAGGGAGACAGTTAGGGGGCTGCTGCAGAAGCCTGGGCAAAGAGCACGGTGGCCTGGACCCCAGTGCTGGACACAGAGAGAGCAGGACAGGTCTGTGGCATGTCTGGGGGCAGAGTCCGCAGGGTTCACGACAGGCCTGTGCATGTGCGTGAGGGCAAGGGGGGAACGCAGGGATGGCCTCCTGGGTTTGTGAGCAACCGGGCAGATAATGCTACCATGTCCTGAGACAGGAAGACAGGGTGGGAAGAAAATGTACTTTATGTATGGAGGGGGGAGAACTGCAGCTCTGCTTGAAACGTGTCAGTTTCAGAGCCGCCTCATGATCTCCAAGTCACTGGAGAGGTCCCTGGGCAGCTGGCGACATTCCTGCTGCCCCACCCCCACAGAGCTCTCTGCTCAGACCCTGCCCCAGGCCTGCCTGCCGGGGAGCATCCTGGCTCCCAAACCACATCGGCTTTTGGGCTCTGCTGCCTGCCTGACTGCTGCATACAAAGGAGCTCGCCCCTAATTCACCGCCCAGCTCTGACGCATCACTCATGACTCGGCGACTGCAACATCATCTGACTCAGCATCTGCTACACTGCTGACATGGGCTGGAAGACCCCTGTCCCAGCTGCCACCACGGGGCTTCCCAGGGCCAAACAGCCCCTGCCGCTGGCCTCCATAATATTGGCGTCCACCCTGGGCACACCTGAGTCTCCTGCACACTTCAGATCTCTGGGTCTCCAAGGGAAATCCTTCAAGGAGCTAAGTCATCTGCCAAAGATGTCTTAGGCCCAAGAAAGGAAGTTGGAAGGCACAAGTTTGGAGCCCAGTGGGTCTAGGTCTGAATCATCCCTACTACTAGCTCTGGGACCCTCAGAGAGCCCTGTGGCCTCTCTGAGCCCAGTGGTCCTCATCTCTCAGGCAAGATGGTGCTGGTGAGATGCTGGGCAAGTCACTGTCCTTGTGGGCCCCAGTGTCCTCGACTGTAAGCAACAGATGTGAGTGCGAGAGAAGCTGCTTTCCTCCTCTGAGCTCTTAAGGAGGGAGGGGCAAAGGGGAGGCTGTGCTGGGGTCTCAAGGGACCATTCGACTCGTCCTGGTCTCCAGGTCCATCATTTCAACTTTGTCGTCATGGATGAACCCCTACCTGCTCCAACCTGCTTCCTGTATGGCAGAAAGCTGCTGGGCAGGTCGGTGGGCAAGGAGATGGCTGGCGAGATGAGGCTCATCCCACATATTATGTGTGTATGTGCAGGTCACTCAATAAGGCTCCAGGAGACTCTGTCTCACAAAGTGGTCTCCCTCAACCCTCACATCAGCCAACTCCTTCCTGCCAACTTCTTCAAGGCTGGCATGTACCACAAACACGAGGGCCGCTGGGGCCGGGGCCAGGAACCCCGTGGACCCTCATTTGCCGTCCTCCACTTCCCCACCCCGCCCCGTGACAGGAACCTGTCATGTTCATGTCACTTCCTGTCCAGGAATCTCTCCTAGGGAAAATCCCTAAATATATAAATAGCTTCATAAATAATGGTAACCACTGTGTTATATATAATAACCAACGAATTAACTTCTACCTGGTGAACTTGATCACATACACTCAATCAAACATTATACAGCCACTTTAAAAAAGAGGAGGTATGAAAACATGGGGAAAACTGAGTATGAAAACATGGAGAAAACACCCTGACTAGCATATCAAGTAAGCAAAGTATAAAAATGTTTCTCCACATGGTTTGAACCAGTGTTGCCCAACAGAAATGTAACGCAAGCCACACCCTTCCATTTTAATTTTTGAGTAGCTGCATTTTAAAAAGAAAACATTAATTTTAACAACATTTTATTTAAGCTAATATATCCAAAGCAGTGTCATCAATATGTACTAAATAGAAAAAGATGATAAATGTTTTACTTTCTTTTTTCTGTACCAAATCTTAAGAATGCAACACGTCTTTAAATCACAGCACATCTCGACGTGGGCTTGCTCCCCGCCAGGCAGGAACAGCCACACTGGCTGGGAACTGCCTGCCCAGACTGCATGGTCTAACCTGTTAAGAGACTTTTAAAAACCTTAAATAATAGGGAAAAAATGACTAGAAAGAAAAATCAAAGTCTTGATGATCACAGACTTTCTCTGAGTGGTAAAAATATGAATGTGACTTTTCCTTCCTCTTTCTGTTTTCTAAAGTTGTCCACATACAATGAATGCATATTACTTTTAAAACAATGGTAAGAGTCAATCTTTTTTAACTTTAGAAGGAAGGGCTTTAAAAGGCCTGGCCGGGCGGACTGCACCTGCTGAGCCCGGGCTCGTTCCGCCCCACGAGAGCCGCCCGTGCCTGGCACCACGTGGAGGCCACGCCATCCGTGCTGTCCATGCAGGCTGGCTGACTGATGGTCAGCGGGGGGTGGGCAGCGTGGCGGGACGGGTGGGAAGACGGAGCAAAGGAGGGAAAGCAGTGCACTACAGAGCTATAAGAGAAGGTCAAGTCCAGACTCTTGTTTCCAAATCCCAAAGCTATCATTTACTGGCTGTATGGTTTTAAAGAAGTAATTGAACCATTCTGTGCTTTGATTTTTTTCAAGTATAAAATGGTAATAGCATTAGTAACTCCTTCACAGGGTTTTGTGAGAATTAAGTGAGATTATCTCTACAGAGTGTTGAATACTGTGTCTGCCGCTTGGCCAGTGTTTCCAGAAATGCTGGCTGCTGTCCTTACGGTGAACGAGTAAACCTCCGGTGTGGTCAGGCTATCTGGCCCGTACAGCAACGGCACCCAGGACACACACTAGAGGCACATTTACCCCAGGTCCCTTCTGCTGCCGCTGCCCCCCCAAACCCCCTTCCTGAGAGCAGATAGCACCACCCCTCCAGCGCAGCCACAGTGGAGCTGTCCTTGGGTTTGCGTGTTCCCTTTGCATGATCCACCCCCTGACTCCAGGCCCCATGGCCCACGTACCTGTACCACCTCTGGCCGCACATTGAAGGTATACAGCCAGTCACTGAAGCGAGGGTAGCTGTTGAGCTCTGAGGTCCTCTCACCAGGAGCCACACTCAGCTTGCACTGCCGTTGCTTGCAAATGTACCGGACCAGCTTCGCCTGCAAGGAGCCCAGAGAAGAAAAGGCAGTTCATTCAGGGCACACACAGGTGGCCACCCTGAGCACACTATAAGGAAGCTGGGGCAAACAGGAGCCTGCTGGATTCCCCTCTGCCACCATTCTGACAGTGCTGAAGAGGGGAGGGAAGAGTCTGAGAGCACCAGCAGGAAACCCGGAAAAACACCCATAAGCCCCTTCCCCACGCAGGGATGGCTGACACTGCCTCAGCCTTGGGGGCCGTGATCCTCAGAGAGTAATGGGCCAGCCTGGTCAGAACAGAGAAGGACGTCCTGCCGGAGTACGGGAGGTTGGACTGGGGGAGAGGGCTGGCAACTGATGATATGGAAGATGTGGGGTGATGAGTAACCTTCCATTTAGGATACAGACAAATTACTTAACACCACACCCCCAGAAAAGCCTCAGTTTCTTCCTCCAGAAAGTGAGGATAATAATAGAGCCTCCCTCTCAGGGAAGCTGAGAAAAAAATCACACACTCAGTGTGTGCCTGGCCCTGTGTGCTGGCCATGCCTACGGGGCTACGGCAGTATTAGCAAGGCTCCGTGACTTGGGTCCGACAACGGGCTTTCAGGGCCCCCACCCTGAAATGTATGCAAATTTCAGACACTCGAGTCTGGGCATTTTTCCAGGGGAAGACTGCCCACAGCTTTCTGAAGACTAGAACTTCAAATAAGATATGTTTGAATAATGCCAGCCCGACAGTCTCTTTCACAAATACAGGGCTCCACTTGGGTGGGCCGCTCATCACCGAGGAACACAGAGGGGGCGAAACCTGCAGGGAGGGCACAGTCCAGGGTGGATTTAGCAGGAGGGGAAAGGCTGGATGAGCGCCCAGCGAAGAAGGCCAGAGTCCTGGCTCAGCTGAGGCCGCCGACCCCCAGGCCCAGTGATGGCTGCCAAGGTGCTGACCGGACTCTAACGGCCCCGAGCTGGTGACGTTCAAGCTGCCCCAGAGGACAAGCTGCCTTCAAAGATTTGCTCAGGGACCCTGCCATTCCAGCTACTTCCCAGTCCCGCTGCCCCTCAAAGGGTGTGGTTGCTGTTAATGCGTTCCTTTACCTGTCATCTGTCATATCTCAGCAGATGCCTCTGGACAGCACGGTCACAATACTAAAAGATGGTTAATGACATTATAATTTAAAAAATTCATATATCTAGGAACGCTCCCAATTTCCAAAGAGGAGCTCTTGACCATTTCTGCAGCGTGGACTCCTCTGGCCACCTGGGGAGGCCTGCACCTCTGAGAACAATGCTACTAAGTGCAAAAAAACACAGCGCTTAGGAGAGCAGAGGAAATCAATCACACGTAAATACGCTCATCAAAATATTACTTAAAACCGTGATAGGACACACTAACGCTTCTTTATCAAAGCAGTAAATCCCGTCTGGCAGCGGGTCCCAGAGCTGCCGTGACTCCAGCCACGCTCTCTTGGGCCGCTGGCCCCTGTGACGCGACAGAACAGCTGTGATTTCTCCCAGCAACCGAGACACACAGGTTTGCTGAGACACACTGTGCCCCGTTGCCTACACCCAAACTGAACAACATGCTAAATTTCAGGCCAGGTTAGTGCAAATGAAGATAACAATTTTCCAATCCAAACTAATGAGCCCCCCTGAAATTCTCTCCACACACTCCAGGTAAAGCACCCCGTGGCTAGAGGGATGCGAAGCGTGAAACAAGACCCACAGTGACAGCACAACCATGGCTTCTACTGAGGCCCTTCTGAAATCGTCCCCAGAAACTTGTCTGTCCCAAGCTGCCCATCTGCCAGGCTCACGGACCCTGACCCACTCATGTGGCCCTGAGCCCTGTTAGGTCCTGCTATCTTCAGAGGATTCGGTGGCAACGGAGGACAATTGCTAGAGAGGAAACACTGAGTCAGAGCAAAAATAATTCCACTGAGTTGTACAGTTTCTATGTTTAGTGAAACCTAGAGAGAGGCAAACCCACAGCAGCCTGTACAACATGTCCCTCAGGTACCCAGAGCAGACGTTGCTAATGGAACGCTCCCTGCTAAGGCTGGCAGCTCCCAGGGTGCCTGCTTTACAAGAGTTGTATTTGCTGGCCTGTTACGGAACCAAAGCCCCTGGGGACATCTTCGGAGCATGAAGCTCACAAACATGAGGACGCAGATGCCTCCTGTGTCCTAAAGGGCTGGGCAGAGGCACTCGGGCCCCTCACCCAGGCTCCCCTCACTCCGGTCCATCCCTCCCAGTGTGACCGGAGGCCAATTCCAACATCAGGGCCCCAGCCTTCTCTTCCAGGATCCTCTCCACTCCACCCCTGGCCACCGCACCCTCCAGGTGCACACCCACCTAGGAAATATTCCTCAAACATTCAATATTTCCTATACTTTCCTACCTCCTGGGCTTCTGCTCAAACTGTCTGCTCCGGCCTGAAGTCCCTCCATCCTCCAAACAGTGTCCTAGGTCTGGGCAAGACTTCCCGGGCCTGGTCAGCATTCCTGTCTCCCCTTCCGAGTGTGCTATCTGCATCTCCATGGCAGCCCCTGTCACTGCTGGCCTCATATAGTCGAGTTTCTGACATGTTACATGTGCTCCCAGGGCAGCAGGCACAGAGCAGGCTTTGGAGTTTAACGGGATCTGGGTTCAAACCTAGGTTCTGCCATTTACCAGTTGTGTGACCTCATGGAAGTTCATGAATTCTTTCTGAGCCTTGGTTCTCTCGCCTGAACAACAGGAATGGTAATCCCAGCTCATTCACTGCTATCAAGGGGGCTGAACTATAGCGTGAAAACCCTCCAAGGACTGGGTTAGTCCCTCTGTTGTTACACATCAGGGAGGGACGGTGTCTACCCCTTTGTGACTGTCCCCGGGAGCCTATGACTACATGTGGCGCACACATGTGCTCAAAAATCCTCAGGAAGGAGGCAAGGAAACACACTGGTCTTGTCCCCACATTAAAATGTTTCTCACAGCCAGGACTTCCCTGCACTCCCTCCCTCCACTCCCAGCTGCTCTCAAACTACAGCCTCAAAGAGCCAACTACAGACAGGGCGAAACATCAAGTAGCTGTGCCAAGGTGAAACCATTCTGTTCCATATTCAGTGAAGAGGCCAGGCTGTTGGCACTAACAGCAGCAGCAGTGAAGGTTGTCACCACGGGCATGAGACCTTCCAGGGCCATACTCCTGAGAGCCAGTGAATAACACATGGATTCCATGTAAGACTTTGGCCACCAAAGGCCAACATCAAGATCAGCCCATCAGCCTTAGCAATGAGCCGGGGCTGGGGCTCTCTCTAGTTCGGCCCCTTCCAGTATGTTCAGGCCTTTTCAGCCACCAGCCCTCTTCCAGGAAGGTTCTTACCAGCGACCCCTCAGTCTCCACAACTCAGCTTGAATGTCCATCCCCCGGGAGGCCTTCCCCAACCCTTTCGGCCCTGCTCCTTTGCCCCAACCCTCTCCTGCATCAGACCACATGTTGCAATTCTAACATTTTACTAGTCTGCTTCCTTCTTTAGACTGTAAAGTCCCTGAGGCCAGGGGCCTGGCCTGTGTTCCTGCTCCCCACTAGGTCCCCCACCTAGAGGTTCCCCACTAGGAACCAGCATAGGACCTGGCACACTGTTGTAAAACCTTTGTTGAATAAATAAATAAATACACACTGCATTTTTGTATCCCGACAGGCACACACATTTACCAAAATGACAATGGAAAACAAATGCCAACCAAGCAAGTGATGACTCAGGAGCCTGAGAGTCTCAAAACCCAGGGCAAGTTCCCCAGAAGAGGGGTAAGCAGTCTTTGTCGAAAGGCGGCAAGGCTCCCCGCTGGAAGCCGGAAGCCGGCCTGGGGGCCGGACCGCGCAGAACTGGGCAGGATCCCTCACTGCAACCAGTTACCCCAGAAGCCTGGGGGGCAGAGTGCTGGGACCCAGGGGCCAGCAGGTCTGGGGTCCTGTTGGCTGCCCTCTCCCAGAGCTCGTAGAGAAGAAACGACACCCGCAGATCTGGGTTCTGCAAAAGGAGGGGAGCTGTTCTCATCCACCAAGGATGGGGGTGCCAGGGCTGCTGCTCACATCTGAGCAAAATAGGCCAAGCTCACTTTTTGGAAAGTTGGTCAGAGTCACAGAAGCACCAGTGGCTACTTTCCCAGAGAAACCACAGTGGGGCCCGCCGGCCCAGCCCAGGGGCCTGTAAGGGGGCCTTTCGTGGGTACAGTCATTTTCTCTTAACCACAAAACCGCAAGATAGAAATTTTCCGGAATAGAAAAGCACCTGGGGCTTCAGCGATGGAACCGGCAGCAGGAGGGGAGAGAGTCAGTAGCACTCTGGCCACAGGGGAGGACCTGGGCCGGAACTAAAAAAAGTCTCACCCCACCCCAGTATTCCTCTGCTTCACGAGCGTGTGCCCCACCCCCACCCCGACACTCAGCCTGGTTTACAGGAAGGGCAGAGGGGCATCAAGTCAACCCACAAACCAGGGGTGGGTACTGCCGATACGCGGTACGCAGCCGGTGCTCACTAAGTGTCCTACGGTAAAAGCTCCAGGTTCTGGTCCCAGCTCTGACATTTAGATCAAGGATCTCAGGGAAATCCCCCTTAGCTCACCTTCAATTTCACCAGCTATAAAAAGGGTATCATTTTATAGAAGTTGGGGCCAAAGTAACTGATAGAAAATGCTTGGGATGAGAGAAAAAATACATACAGGTCCCACTACGTCACTGTGGTTACCCAGCCACGTCCAAGCAGAAGCACAGACCTGGGAGGAAAAACTGGCTCCCGAGACAGACGCGTCTGGCCTCAACGGCCCTTGCCACCACACCACCTCAGCAGGACACTTCACCTTGGCCTCAGTTTCCCCATTTTTAAAATGGGGTTATCTGCTGCAAAGGGCTGTTGTGAAGAGTTACGTGAGGTTATACAGGTGTAAGATGTTCCTCCACTTAGTGGTAGCTGCAGTGGGTGGCGTCCTTGCCAAGTGAAGTCTTCAGGTTCTCTTAAAACCTCCTTGGGCGACAG